TCTTTCCCTGCAAACGATCTGCTCCTTGAAACCATGAGATCTTCCTGGTTCTGGGTGGGCTGGGCCGGCAGTGTAGGCAGGGCCAGGGCTGACAGGAACTCTCCCCTCTGGGCACAGGAGCCGAGCACCATGGCTTACCACAGCTTCCTGGTGGAGCCCATCAGCTGCCACGCTTGGAACAAGGACCGCACGCGTGAGTGCCTGCAGCGGGGAGAAGTACACGTGGGGTCACTGGGCAGCCTTGAGTCAAGATGTGGTCAGGCCCTGGGACTGCGGGCTCCACCAGGGCAGCCATGCCCCTAGGTCACCTTGCAGGCTTGCGCGCACAGCCTGCCTGGCCCAGGCCCTGCTGTAGGCACTGGGATTGGGGAGAGACGCTCAAGGGCCTGAAGATGGGGAGTGAGGTGGGGACAGGAAACAAAGACTAAACCTTCAAAGAGAGTACAGAAATAGTTGTGTAGAACAGCAGCAGGGTAAAGGGGAAGCCAGGGAGGTAAAGAATGGGTTTAAGAAAGTCCCTTCCTTTTAAGGAGGCAACATTTGCGTGGATGCTAATGGTCACAAGGTGGCTGTGGGGCATCTTGGGTGGTGGGTGCAGGTGAGAAAGTGGCCAGCAAGGCTTCAGGGAGCCCCTGCAAGGCAGAGGAGAAGAGCCCAAGTCATGAAGGATAAGGAGTTGCCCAGGTGGACCCCAAAGGGTGTTCATGGTGGAGGGGAGCCCTGGGTGTGTGTCCTGGACACCTGTACCTCCTTCTACTCCTGACAATCCCTCCTGTCCCCCTGCAGAGATCGCCATCTGCCCCAACAACCATGAGGTGCACATCTATGAGAAAAGTGGAGCCAAGTGGTCCAAGGTGCATGAGCTCAAGGAGCACAACGGGCAGGTGACAGGTGGGTCAGGCTGTCTGGGATGACCCTCCTAAAAGGAGGTAGGGGGATGGGGCACTGTATTAGGATAGTTAGGGTTGGAAGTAATACAAGTCTGATTCAAACTAGCGTAAGTTATAAAGGGATTAGGTTTGTTTATGCTACTGAAAAACCTCAGAGATTGTCAGCTTCAAGAGAGGCTTGATCCAGCTGCTCAGTATTACCAAGAATCACTCTTTTCTCGGATTTGCCCTCCAGCATGTTTTGGTGATAGTTTGGGAGAAGTTACACCCCTAATAAGCTCTGGTAGCACCTGCTAGTGTCAGTCCAAATAAACATTGGGTCTCAGCTTTTATCCAGATTGTGGCCTATAAACCGCATGGCCACTAGAGAGCTATCTCTGCATGGGTCACTTTAACCTAGTGTATCCCCCCCATCCCCTCCACAGGCATCGACTGGGCCCCTGAGAGTAACCGTATCGTGACCTGTGGCACAGACCGTAACGCCTATGTGTGGACGCTGAAGGGCCACATGTGGAAGCCCACACTTGTCATCTTGCGCATTAACCGGGCTGCCCGCTGTGTGCGCTGGGCCCCCAATGAGAACAAGTTTGCTGTGGGTAGTGGCTCCCGTGTCATCTCCATCTGTTATTTCGAGCAGGAGAATGACTGGTATGTGCTTGGGCAGGGCCGAAGTGAGCTAGGGGAACCTAGGGCTGGCTGAGCCCAGGACTGCAGCTAATGGGGCAGGACTAGCATGTTCCCAGAAAGCATCTGGTAAGATAGTGAGATGTCAGGACCCCTTTCACATGACCCGGGAAAGCCTGTCCTCATCGGGCCTCATGAGTGAGGCAAGGGGCTCTGCCCAGTCCTCAGAGCCCTATCTTGGGAATAACAAGGACAGACAACATGAGGCCACCTCCAGAGGCACCATGCTAAGCTCTGCACACACATCACTCTGACTTTGCACAGCCCTGTCTTTGACCCCACTTTACAGACGAGTAAAGGCCCTGTAACAGTCACTTGTTCCATGAGCCCATCCTCTCAGATTGTAGGGTCCACTCACAAGATTCCAGCCATGTCCTAATCTCCCTTATATCACTGAGGGCAGAGCCAGGCAACAGTGCAGCTTGAGCCTGGGAGACCCTGGTTCAAATCCCACTGTGGCCAATTAGTACCTGTGTGACCTCTAGTGAGAACTTCACCTGGATGAGCCTGTCCTATGGGTTGTTGTGAAGTTTTATTTATTTATTACATGAACCAAAGAGACAGAAAAAAAAGAGACTTTCCAACAGAGTCTTGACACCACAGTCCACCCCAGCCAGAGCCAGCCCTGGATCATGGGTACACACATACTGCCCATTGTCAGGGAGGTCCTTGGACACAGACTCAGTACCTTCCTGTGTGGGTCAGCCTCGCAGTGTTGAATTTTACCCTTGCTTTACCATCTACCTGTCATGAGTTTTGAAGGAGACATGGTATAGAGTTCTCACCCTTGAGGGGACCCAGCACATCACTGTCTGCACCAGGACCCTGACAGGCCCACAGCTGGAAGTTCCTCTCCCTCCTGGGATGTTGGTGCTCTGCAAGGAGCAGTAGGAGCTGGAGGCCCAGAGCACTGAGGTCTGTGGGTGCTGCTGTCTGTGGTACCCACCTGTCTGTCCCTCTCTCCCCCTCTGCCTACCGTGTCCAGGTGGGTGTGCAAGCACATCAAGAAGCCCATCCGCTCCACCGTCCTCAGCCTTGACTGGCATCCGAACAATGTGCTCCTGGCTGCTGGCTCCTGCGACTTCAAGTGCCGGTGAGGCAAAGCTGCCCAGGATGGGCACTGGGAAGGGTGGGGCCCTGCGGCCCAGCCATCAACACATTGCAGGCATGAGAGGGTAGAGGGGGAACCCCAAGCTCTGCCTTCCAGATCAGGTCCAGAGCTACCAGCAGGGTGAACCTGGGCCTAAGTCAGGCCATCTGTGAGGGCTTGTTCTATGAAGGATTGTCACCATATCCTGCCTCCAGCCCCTTGGTTAGTCTTGGCAGGACACGCACCTTGCCACCTCTTAATGTCAGCAAGGTCCTTCCCGGGTCCTCCTCTTCTGCCTCATTAGAACCCACCCCCACCACCCCTGTAGTTTCCCTAGTTTCTAACAAAAGGAAAATGAGTATACTTATTCATACTAACCTATGAATGACTAATTCGCTGGAGCAAGCCTCTTTCATTATCTTGAGGCCTAGAATGAAGTTTCTAATTGTCATTCATTGCTTTTCAGTTCTGGGCCCAGTACCCACATCTTCCTCAGACACTGATCCCAGTTCCTCTCAGCTCCAGGCAGTCAGCCCCATAGGCCTCAGAATCCCCACCTGGGTAATAGCAGGCAGCGAAGCTCCTTTGGAGGCCCTGGACACAGCAAGGATGACATTCTGATAAGCCTTTGCTAGTGTGGGAGGGTGCTGGTTTAGCAGCACCCTGATCTGCCAGGTGACCCTGAGCTGGCTGTGGGTTGAGAGAAGAGGGTTAACGTGTGAGACAGGTATGAAAGGTGGAGCTGAGTAGAGCATAGAGCCCCAGAGGGTGCAGGACTAGACCCAGGTGGAGAGCAGGAGGGTGAGGGTCATCCAAGAGGAGGGCTGTGGATTGGCCTGAATGCTTGGGACATCCCCTGGAGGCTGCATGAGTGTGGATGGGCAGCTCTTAAGTTAGGTCCTCCAGGTTCTGTGTATTCATAGGACTTGAGCTGAGAGACCTTCAGGCCCTCTTATTGCACAGATGTGGGTACTGGGCCCACAACTGAAAAGCAGTGAATGACAACTACAAACTACATTCCAGGCCTTAAGATAACGAAGGAAGCTTGTTCCAGCTTATGCGTCATTCATAGATTAGTATGAATAAGTACATTCATTTTCCTTTTGATAGAAGCTAGGAAACAGGGACCAGCAGCTGGCGTAATGGCTATGTTGCTGGCCTCCCATGTAGTCGACCACAGTTTGAGTCCTGGACCCAGTGGCTTAAACTCACGCCAGGTGTGTGTGTGTGTGTGCGCGCGCGCATGCCCAAAATCCTGAAAGGAGAATGGAGAAGGGATTATGGCGTGCCCATCCCCCCGGAGGGTGACTTCTCACTTTCTGTCTCTGTCTCTATCTTTCTGGTGAGCGCGCACGCCCTATAGCAAAAACCTCTCCAAAAAAGAAAAAAAAAAAAAAGAAGCTAGGAAACTATAGGGGTGTTGGGGGTGGGTTCTAATGAGGCAGGAGAGGAGGACATGGGAAGGACCTTACTGACATTAAGAGGTGGCAATGTGCATGTCCTACCAAGACTATAACCAATGGAATGAAGGCAAGATATGATGATGAGCAAGACACAGGTCACGCAGAGCCAGGTTTGCAACTCACAAGCTCCTAGCCACTGGCGAGGCTGCCTCACCTGGTGGGTTTGGGAGATACCCTCTTTTCAGGCCTCTTTCAAGCCCCTAGTTCCCCGTTTTGCCCTCTTCTGGTAGGATCTTCTCTGCCTACATCAAGGAAGTAGAGGAGCGTCCAGCACCCACACCATGGGGCTCTAAGATGCCCTTCGGGGAGCTGATGTTTGAGTCCAGCAGTAGCTGCGGCTGGGTGCATGGTGTCTGCTTCTCAGCCAGTGGAAGCCGTGTGGCCTGGGTCAGCCATGACAGCACCGTGTGCCTGGCTGATGCAGACAAGAAGATGGCGTGAGTAGGGGCCCCTGGGGTGGAGTTGGTGAGCTGTGGGACCACCAAGGCAAAGGGGGAGGAGGGAGACTGTGCCTGACATCTCTCCCCTCCTCAGTGTTGCGACCCTGGCCTCTGAAACGTTGCCGCTGTTGGCACTCACCTTCATCACAGAAAACAGTCTGGTGGCAGCGGTAAGGGGGAGTGGCAGGGAGGGGAGGGGACTGGCCAGTTAGATCTCCCAGAGAGCTCAGCAGGTGCCTATGTAACTCTCCACTATCCTTTCATCTGCCTCCCTTCTTCCTAGCCATCCATCCATGTATCCATATTGGGCAGAACAGGTTGGATTATGCTGCAGTAACATACAAACCCAGTTGCAGTGGCTTAAGGCAGTCAAGAATTATTTCATGCTCACATTCATGGCCAGTGTGGGAGGTCTGAGGGGGGCTTTGGTGGAGGTTTTGTCTCCAACCTAACTTCCCCAACTGCCCTGAAGGAAGAAGGGGTAGTGGATGCTGACATTTCTGCTCACATTGTATTGGCCAGTGCAAGTGACATGGCTACCTACATGTGCAGGGTGAGGGAGTGCAGTTCCACCAGGTGCCCAAAAAGGTCACTAATCTCTCTCTGCCCACACATCTGTCAAGTCCCTTTTCACCACTCTGCAAACATATCAGAGTGCTTAGAGGCCTGTCAGCCCTGCATTTTGCCAAAGAGGAGTGTTCAGCTGTACAGTCTCCCACAGAAGAAATGTAACCAACTAGGCAGAAGACACCTGAGCTCCCCAGAGGAGCCCAACTAGCTTTCTCAACTAGCCCCTGGCCTTGCAGGGGGAGGGATCAGTCCCAGCATCTGCCTCCTCTTAATGGAAGAGGCACTGGAGCTGATTGTGGAGCTGGCACTCAGGCCCATTGCCACATGCAGACAATGTACCGTCTGTCCGTGCAACAGTGACACTCCTTGCCCCACTGCAGGGCCATGACTGCTTCCCGGTGCTGTTTACCTATGATGGTGCTGCGGGGTCGCTGAGCTTTGGTGGGCGGCTGGACGTGCCCAAGCAAAGCTCGCAACGCGGCCTGACTGCCCGTGAGCGCTTCCAGAACCTCGACAAAAAGGCAAGCTCAGAGGGCGGCGGGGCCGCCGGTGCTGGCCTGGACTCTCTGCACAAGAACAGTGTCAGGTGAGGGTGGTTGCCCAGAAGGGGCGTGGCTCAGAGGGAGCTTGTGGCCTGTCTTGATGCTCATCTCAGTAGCGTTAGGTGCCTGCTGGGTCCTGGTGGGACCCCCACCTAGGCAGAGCAGACTCCTTTGGTTGTATATAAGGTGGGGGCTGAGCAGTCCTAGCCTCCCTCTGGATTTTTAGAGATGGCCAGGCAGGGACATCGTCAGTGGTGGATTCTGTGGGGACAGCCAAGCTCAAGTGACCAGCTGGTGTTTTGTGGGCAGGGCAGTAGCTGGGCAGGCCTTTTACCAGAACCAGGGGAGATGGGGATCGAGCTGAGGGTCCCTGGTCCTGCCACAGCCTCCTGAGGATCTAGTGAGGGGCAGGGGAGGGGAGACCCTCCAAAACCCAAATCTGCCAGTCATGGGCCTGCTTTGAGGTGGACCAGCTGGTATAGCAAGACTTTCTGTCCAAGTGGTCAAACCCCCTGGTGGCTGCCAGATCCTATCTCTTTTTTTTTGGGGGGGGGGGGGGTTTTTTTGCTTATGG